CGGGTATGTTATCCGTCTCGTTTCTCTTTGTTTAATCTCAGGTTTGCCTTGTTAGAGTGTCAGGTTTAGCCGGGAGTCTAGTTAACGATTTGAGGTTTGTTGCATTTAAAAGCTTTTCTCAAAATCCCTGTTCTTGTTTACTTCCGTGTCAAGTTTCACCTGTTTTAGAAGGTACGAGGTTGAGTTTGGGGTGTCCCGAGTCGAGTTGGGGTGATTTCAGGTTGGGAGGCTGAATCGCACGTGCGGGAAGAGGGCCGCACGTATCGAAGGTGAGGCCGCATGTGCAGGAAACAGGAGAGAACCTGGGTTGCCTACTGCATAAAAGGCAGGTGCGGCTAGAGGTGCTGGGTGAGAGCGCCGCACATGCAGGGGTGAGTGTCGCACGTACGGAAGGACGCGCTACATGTGCGGGAATGGGTCACACGTACGGGAATGGGTGCCGCACGTGCGGGACTCCGCTGAGTCCGAAAATTTTGTCTTTTCTCTCTTTTGGGGCTAAGTGTACATCACTTTTCTTATATCTCTCTCTCTCTCTCTAAAAACATATTTCTCTCCCTTCTCTCTACATTTCTTACCAAAAACCTCACAATATCATTGATTTCTCCAAATCCATTAGCATTTTGACCTAAGTTTCTTCATCAAAGTTGGATAACTTCTCGAGAGCTTCGTTGTATGCAGTGGAGATCAAGTTTCCACACCGTTGATTTTAGGGGTTTCTTCTCTCTTCTACTCCAAAGCTTGAGGTAGGGATTTTCTTAGAGTTATATATATATATATATATATATTTGTAAATTTATGTAAATTTTGAGATTTCCATTGGTGGCATTGAAAATGTGGTTTTTGGCTCAAGAATATTGGTGGTTTTGAAAATGGGTTCACCTTTTGTTTTCTTTAAATGATTTTCTTGAAGATTTGAATCACATGGATTTAAGGAAGATGAATTTGGTGAGATTCCACCAAGGGATGAGGAAATGTCTAGTTTTGATAAAAACCTAGAAATTTTGGGGGTTTTGGAAGATGTTGAGAATCTATGGATTTTCTTGTGCTAAATGAATGAATAAGTGGAAATTTCATATTATTATTTATAAAATGACAATTTTCTTGGTGTATGAGGATTTGGGGATTTTGTTTTGAATTTATTGTTTGAGTGCATGTACATATATAGTTATGAAATGGCAAATTGTTGAGAACATATGAAATGTAGAAATGTTGCTACACTTGAATAGATATATATTTATATTCATATGTGATATTTGATGAAATTGCATTGGAAAGGAGAATTGGAATTGTGATCGAAATGGAGAAATTGTGTGGAAAATATTGTTAATGGAAGATTATTATTTTGCTTTGGCATATATTGCATTGGCATTTCTATTATTGCGTAGTTACAAATTTTGAGTTGAGATTTGAAAACATTTTAATTGAGAAAGAAATGTTGTGAAATAAGGCTTATTGAAAGGTTATGGGGTAAATACGTTGGTAAGTCCGGACAGGGGGTGTAGATGAAATTAATTAAGTTGGCCTGAGTATCCAGGGTGAAAGACCGAAAACACGCACGGAGGAGGCACCACTTTCCTTCCGATTAGGAACCAGTAAAGCGGGGTTTTTGGTAGAGCTAGTTATGCCTACTTGCAGACACCAACCTAGGGATTACCTGAGTCGTATTTACTGCCCCTTGAGTTAAATTGATAAATTTTGAGTTTGTTAAAAATGTCAAGATATCATTGAACATGATGGTTTTCAAAAGATGAGCAAATGTGATTTTCTTTAAAAAGGGCATAACATGGCATATGCATTTCATTCCTTGAGACTTGTATAAAATATATATACTATGTTAAGAATTTTTTACTGGGCTTTATGCTCACCCTATGGGATTTTGATGCAGGAAAAGAAGTGGTGAACCACCAAACTAGGGCGTGGGTGTATGTGGTGAGAGTACAAGGCTCTATTTTGTTGTGATTGTAATTTTTGCAAGCCAAGGGCTATACATGTATGGGTTCGAGAAACCATATTTTGTGTAGCTGGGCTTAAGCCTTGGAACTTGTAAGCCCTCAAGGGCATTTATTTATTTTTGATTAATGTTCTACATGCTATAGATTCAGGTGTTAGAATTCATTGAATGTATACTCGCATGTGGAACTATTTTGTTTGACCTCATCACCTTTAATGCAAACATTGGGAGATTAATTTGGGTTGTCATAAGGAGTAATGGATGTTATGTTATCATATTGTATTGTTTTTTTTTTTTTTTTTTGGGCGTTACACAACTTCCCACTTCAATTTTTCATAATCCGTACATGTAAAACAATTGAATGTACGAAATTAATTACATAATTACCCAATTTTGTTTAATAGTTCATCTCATAATACAAATTCAATGAACCCACTATTGCATATTATTTGTATACTATTGTTGTAAGAATACATTAATATCAATATGTAATATAGTTTTATACATCAAGAATTGTTGAGTCTCATTTCCTGTTCCACGAATATCTTTCATGATAAAAAAAATATAACATTAGTCATTAGTATACAATTGCTATACAATTGTCATGAAAAAAATAAATATAAAAAGTGTAATTATTGTCATGATATAGGTATTTTGCAAAGTCTTGGTTTATTATTGAAAGTGTTTGTTGTGGACACTTGTTTGTATGACATGTATGTATATATGTATAGAACATGAGTTGATAGGAGAACAATACACAGTTCTGTAGTTTTTTTCCTAACAAATATAACTATATTACTAAAGCGATACATGTTAGAAAATTAAAGTATCTGATGGTAGTATAACATTACAGATTGACAATGTATAAATATAGTAATATATATAAATTTACATTTATATTTTTTTTAATATATTTAAATATGTAGACATTGACATATATAAGATATCACAAAAGTCATATGTGAAATCTTTTATAACAATATAATACACAGTTAATTATTCATAATTAAATAGTTGGTCAAAATGTAAAATGTTTAGTGTTATATTTTTGTGTGCATGCGCCATTTTTTTAATTAGTTTATTAAATTCACATAAAAATTGAAACGAATTTGTGAATAATTTATGTGAAATTAGAGATTAGTGAATAAATATTTTCCAAAAGAGAAGTTTATAGTGTTTGGTTTGATTTGTTTTTTTCAAACTTTTGTTTTGAATATTTAGTTTTCATGTTTTTTTTTTTGTCTTTGACACTGTTTTTTTTAAGAACCTATTATTTTCTTTTTAGATCCACCTAATTTAATACTTTTTTATTTTTTAATTTCACTTTTAGATTTAGATTCACTTAACTAAATACACTTAGAAAATAATTTATTGTGTATTTGTTTTAGAAAACAATTATTAATTTTGAATAATAATAATAACAACAAAATATAATAATAAAAAATCAATACATGTTTGAATTTATAAATTTTTTTATCAATAATTTACTTTTTAACTCTATTCAGATTATCAGATATTAGATTTTCATGTAAAAGTATAATTTAAATATAAAATATGAAGAAATTTCAGTATTTTTAATCATCAAAACTGAAAAAAATATTAAATATTAAAAACTAAAAAACAGATTTTAAAAATAAAACCAACGAAAGTGATTATTATTTAAAATTTTGATATCATGGTTATGAAAGTACCATGTAAAATATTACAGTTCATAAATATAATTTAAACAAAAGGAAAGTGTATGAAGATAACTTGCGAATTTTTGAGATGCAGTGCAAATCTCTATTTTAAAAACACATGTGCTTCCCTTTGTCTAGATTCAAACGATGAAGCGATTTTTTGAGATGCAGCACAAATTTCAATTTTAAAAATGCATGTACTTTCCTCTATCTAGATTTGAATGATAGACAATAAATATTATATATATATCAGTATAGAAGCAGACACAGGTAATAAGAAAGAGTAATTTTTTTTTTGTTCTTCAATTATCATCAATGTAAAAAATAGGGAGACAATTTTTTTATTTCTTATTTTTTTATAAGAAGTGAGACGATTTGTTTATATTTATATAGGACTCTTGGAAATAGATATATCATTTTTTAGTGTTCAACTCCAAAAATAAAGAAATAGTTGGTTTATATAGGACTCTTCATGACTTTTAGAAAATATAATAGATTTGAGAGGGGTAAAATTGGGATTTAAAAAAAGTAGAAAACATGATAATGTAAGGGACATAGTTTGTTTAGATTTATATAGGACTATTAGTAGTAGATATATTGTTTTTGAGTGTTTAAATCCAAAAATAAAGAGATAACTGGTTTATATAGGACTCTTCATGATTTTTAGAAAATATAATAAATTTGAGAGAGTAAAATTAGGATTTTAAAAAAAGTAAAAAACATGGTAGGGTCTTCACACTTTTATAATAAAATTTATCTATTGGTTGATTTCACTATAACAATTTGTACTTTTGGCGACTAAAACAAATTTAGTCACCAAAAGTGAGACCTTTCCCAACTAATTTTTTTCTTGGTCGGCAATGTTTGGCATTTTAGCTACAAAAATTTTTAGTAGCCTATATCAATTATTGGTGACTGAAAAAAAATTTGGTCGCTAAATATAATGTAATAGGTGACTAAAAAACTTTTAGTCGATGTTAGTCTAGATTTTTGGCTACTAATTCTTGTTTTAGTCGGCGTACACAACCATTTGCCGACCACAAAAATTTTAGTCACCAAAAAATATGCAAATATATTGGGTTACTCTTTGCCGACCAAAGAATTTCATCCGAAAATATAAACCATCAGCAACTAAAAAATTGTAGTCGTTGTATACTTAGTTTTTGCCGACGAAAACAATACTTAGCAGCTAAATTACACAAACAACTACAAAAGATTTTGTCGTTATTGAGTTATATTTGCCGACAAATCATAATTTAGTCACTATAGGTGCGAAATTTTTTTGGGCTCCCTTCCCTCTTTGTTTTTTTTCTTTTTTTGAACCGCAAGGCTGTTCCTCTTTGTTTCACACAAACCCTTTTGTCTTTGTTCTGTCTCTCACACACACAGAACAGTCACCACCAAACCTGACGCCCGCTCACCACTGACGGTCTCTCTCTCTCTCGAGCCATCTCTCTCTCTCTCTCTCTCCCTTTTTCTATTTCCCCATTTCTCACACTTGATCTAGGGTTTTATATGATTTTTTTAGTTTAATTTTGTGTTGATTTCTTAAATGGGCTTGGTTGAAGTGTTTGATTGCTATGAAATTATGTTCTTCCTGATGTCAAAAATGGCTTTGATTTTCATTTTATGGGTTTCACAAAGAAAAAATTTTGATGTAAAAAATCAAAATCAATGAACAATTTGAAAAGAGGTGAAGGTTAATTATAGAAATAAGATAAATTCCAAGAATTTCCTTGAAAGTTAATTACAGAAATAAGATAAATTCTAGGAAGTTCCTTGAAAATCCTGGAACCAAAAATATCAAAAAATAAGAATCCTAAGGTCGTAGATTAACAGAGTGACTGATTTAAGGGCTTTAGAGTACTTTACAACTGAGCTTGAAGGGGTTCCTCCACTGCCTGCTGGTGTTTCAGCCTTAGCTGCGAAGAACAAGGGGATGGATAATTACAAATAGGGGCAGTATGTTGATACCATAAAGTGGCTTTCTTAGGCTGTGATTCTTCCTGAGAAAATTGGTGATGATGCTACTTCCATGGAGGTCTTATCCAGCAGGGCTTCATGTTACAAAGAAGTTGGGGAGTATAAAAAGACTGGCAGATTGTACAAAGGTATATAATAATTCTTTTGTGGTGAAGAATTTTTTAAATTCTACTTGCAAGGTTGAAAATTTATATTTAATCAACTCATCTAGTGTAAAGATTATAGCCTATGAATTAGTTTAAATTGTTCTTTAACATGCTACTGTTAATTTGATGGCTTAGAAGTTACTAAGGGTCATATAGTTTGGAGAGCTGTTTGAAGGATGGATCGGTTTGGTTGCAGTGACAAACATGGATCATGGGAAAACTGTGATTTTTTCCTTGAATTTTCCTAGATCCTGCTAGTCTGATTAGGCAGATTTCACAACAACTCTCTGATCTACTTGGTGGATTTCTCAAACTGGAATGCCTAAAATAATCTATGTTACATATATTTAAGAATTCTATTGGTGTGAGTTATTGGATAGTGACTCATTTAAGTGAAGGCAACCAATATAGCGCAAGGTCTTATGATTCTGCTTATCATATGGACAATGGATCTCTGTTAATTGAAAAAAAGATTATCAAAGTCTCCAACAACAACATCATTGTGGCTGACATTGACGCTACCTTCTGGTGTCTTAGACTCTCACATTTTGCCCCATTTTCTAAGTTGAATTACAATAGTCTAATTGAGTTGAAGGTTTGGTAGTTAGTAGAGGCCTCACCTTGGTTTACTAATTGTTATCATCACCGGTAATACTTGTGCATACCCATAAATGGTCCATTGTTTTATGAGTTGAATTATGGGTTCTATATATTGTTGTTACACTAGTTTACCATTTCTATGTACTGTTGGAAGCAAGAAGTGTACTTGAGCAAAGTTCATATTAGTTTTAAATGAATTTCCCCTGGAGGTTTCAATTTATATTTTTTTGCAGAGTTTCAAAAGCTTATGATTTAGCAACTGAAGTTTATATGTCTGGTTTTGACCGTTCAAAGCCCCCTGAGGAAGTGAGTGTCACTTTCTTCCTATTAATTGTTGAATTATATTGCTTTCTAATTCCAAGGTGGTTGTAGGCTGCACTAAGGGAAGCACACAGAGAAGCATTTCAAAAATCGATGTCTGCATTTAATGGTAGTGCTGTAGGGGCTAGTTCAACAAGGCAGAAATATGAAAAGCGTCTCCAGAACTTCTTAAGGAAGGCATTTGAGGTAAAAAAAAAAAAAATTCTACTTTCCTTTTTCTGCTTAAAGATATTTTTAGTAACACAAATTGTTAGATGTATATAGATGATGGCCTTGCTTATTGATATCTTCACTACATTATGTAATGGAGTAATGGTATCTTAATCAACTAGCAGTATGAAATTGAGTGATGGTATCTTAATCAACTAACAGTATGTCTGAACAATTTACTTATTGGGTTAGGATTTGGTTTGGCTCAGATCAGACTTTGAATATGAATTTCCAGTGTCTACTTCAGCAAAATTAGCTGCTGATAGTTTCCGACAGTATATAGAAATGGTAAACTAGTGTAGTGGGGTGCTCGGGGTATATTGACCAATTGGAAACCAAATTGAAAAGGTGTGTTATTTATTTAATTTTTTGTCCTTTTGAACAAGTTAATACGTACATATCCAAGTGTCATTTGAGATTTTAGACTGAGTTAAATCAACCAAGTGAACTTGGATTTAATTTGTAGCAACATGATTTCCGGGCCGGATTATGAGATGGACTGCAGAAACAAGAAACAATATCATTAATACGTCATCAAGTTAAAAACCAAAAACCATGGACAGAACTGACCTAAAATTTTAGCTTTGATTGAAGTTCATTTTGGCTTCCACATGCTTAGTAACCTGATAGAAACGGAAAAATAAAAGCACTATACCATATTTCATTTGTAAATGGTCAATGGACTTAGAACTTCATCATAATATCATAGATATCATAAGTCATATGCTGAATGCCTCACACAAATCCCTTTTCCTAACGAATGGCACAAGTAAGAACCTGTCTCTGCATATCATGTGAGAAGGAGCTAACTTTTGCGCTTGCATTGTAACTACATAGAACCATATTTGACAACAATAGTATAAACTACAAATAGATGAGGGAAACAAACAGTCATAAACTATGGTGTACAACTCAATCAAAATATGTCTTCATTAGCACACGTAGGTTGGGAGTTGGAGTGAAAAACGCCTTAAACTTAGTCACAAAAGGCCATTCGGGGGGCAAAAATGCAAAGCAACCCCCGGACCACTCTACGGATGTCACGGGAAACTTTCTCATGACAAATAGGACTTGTGGGGATAGACGGGATGTAATTAGTACATGTAGGTTGGGAGTTTGAGTGAAAAACGCCTTGAACTTTGTCGAAAAAGGCCATTCGGGGGGCGAAAATGCAAAGCAGCCCCCGAACCACTCTATGGATGTCACGGGTAGCTTCCTCGTAACAAATAGGACCTGTGGGGATAGACATGATGTAATTAGCACACGTAGGTTGGGAGTTGAATTAAAAAACGCCTTGAACTTAGTTGAAAAAGGCCGTTTGGGGGCTAAAATGTAAAGCAGTCCCCGAACCACTCTATGGATGTCATGGGTAGCTTCCTCATGGAAAATAGGACCTGTGGGGACAGAGGGGATGTAATTAGCACATGTAGGTTGGGAGTTGGATTGAAAAAAGCCTTGAACTTAATCGATAAAGGCCATTTGGGCGGCGAAAATGCAAAGCAACCCCCGAACCACTCTATGGATGTCATGAGTAGCTTTATCATGACTAATAGGACCTGTGGGGATAGACGGGATGTAATTAGCACGCGTAGGTTGGGAGTTGGAGTGAAAAACCCCTTGAACTTTGTCGAAAAAGGCCATTCGGGGGATGAAAATGCAAAACAGCCCTTGAATCACTCTATGGATGTCACAGGTAGCTTACTCATGACAAATAGGACCTATGGGGACAGATGGGATGTAATTAGCACACGTAGGGTGGGAGTTGGAGTGAAAAACGCCTTGAACTTTGTCGAAGAAGGTTATTCAGGGGGCGAAAATGCAAAGCAGCTCCTGAACCACTCTATGGATGTCATGGATAGCTTTCTCATGACAAATAGGACCTATGAGGACAAACGGAATGTAATTAGCACACGTAGGTTCGGAGTTGGTGTGAAAAATGCCTTGAACTTAGTTGAAAAAGGCCGTTTGCGGGGGTGAAAATGCAAACTAGCCCCTGAATCACTCTATGGATGTCATGGGTAGCTTCCTCGTGACAAATAGGACCTGTGGGGACAGACAGGGTATAATTAGCACACGTAGGTTGGGAGTTTGAGTGAAAAATGCCTTGAATTTAGTTGAAAAAGGTCGTTCGGGGGGCGAAAATGCAAAGCAGCCCCCGAACCAGAAATCTAAAGACATAGAATAGAATACAAAACAAAACACGCGAAATTATTATCACCATACACATCCCTCCAAGATTTATTTTTAAGAGATCTTGGTTCTTTAGTTTACATAGGATGGATGGACATAGTGACTGATGAGAATGATCATGTATATGGGTCCATTTTTAAGATTTTAGGTACCTTGATTCATCTGATCAGGTGGTTTGGATTGACTAATCAATGGCTACATTTTTGAATTGTCACAGCTTGTATGCAATAGGCAAAACCATTTCAATGATCTCTCAGTACATTGAAACATTTACTGAACAACAAGTCATTTTTGGTAAATGTCACAACCAAACAAGGTCCTAAAGAACCAAAATGAAGAGAAACATACCATTGATGTAGGCCCAATTTAACCTTAATGTTGACCTTTAATCATCTTCTGGTTTGACAAATAAGCATTGCCAAGTTGTTTTAGAAAGAAATTTTTTCTCAATACTGCTGAATATACTGCACAACCTTACATTGATTGTCATTTTTAGGGGCTAATTGGACTTTTAATCTTGTGCACTTTGTGTTATTTAGGTTCCTAACATTTCAATAATGTTAATTTAATTTAAATATAAAATATTATGATTGCAGGGATGAAACTACACCTTAGCCAAAAAAGAAAAAAAAATCTATGAAATCCCTTTACAGATCTAATAACTTTTTTTTTTTTTTGCATAGAAATTATCTTCAAATGTTATATGGAACCAATGGGTGTAATTTTTGTTTTGTAGATGGCTTTTGGCATAGACATGTGGATCTTCCATTTTTGTGTACGGAGGATAATTTACACTTTTGAATAATCCCGTTTTTTTGTCGTCTTCCGCTTTTTGTGTGGAATTTGGATGAATCGTACATATAACTTTTGGCCGGGTACATAATACTTTTGACTTCAAACAAATATTTATTGTCGTGGTGTATAGATTACCTTTTGTTGTGATAGAAATCACCATGGTAATTTGTACCATGCCAAATGGCCATTTCGCATAGTAGTAAATATGAAACGCCCTCAAAATAATAACATAAAACCCATCAATATAGACATGCATTGGTTTACAAAAGTTCCACATTCTTCCATTCATCAGAGTTTCATTATAAAAAGTATTACATGTTAACAATAAAAGCAAATGCCCTAAAGGCTTACAGCTTTCCAAGTTAACACTTGGTTACAACAAAAGAGTACTAACTCATTTACACATTAAGCCCTCGGCTTGAACATACATGTAATACATCAAAAATAAGACAACAAAAGTGTGTCCGCCTCTAGCCTCCCAAGCTACGTCCTTGGAGGTGGCATGCTACCTGTACCTGAAAATGATATTCCCATATAGGGTGAGCCACAGCCCAGTAGAAATACACTAAACCAAATATGAACAATGACTAAAAGATTAGCAATTGATAGATGGCCAACACAGATACTTTCCCTTATCAAACTTTACGGTTTCATGACATACAAGTCCATATTACAATCCATTTTCCATTTCTTTCTATTCTCAATTTACAACCATGGCTCAGAACCTGGCCAAACAACTCATATGAGACGGTAACTCATATCAAATACTTCCCATTTCACAATAGATAAGCATACTAGCTATATCACACAACAATAGATAAGCATACAAGCTATATCATCACTTCCACAGATATGTATATAAGGGACTAAATGTTCCTAGGTTTATGTTTTGTTAAACTTTAGCTCTGTTATCTCCTTTTTATGAATCAAAAAAAAAAAAAAAAAAAATATCTAT